CAACCTCCCTCCCCCAGTCCAGCTCCCTGCGGCTGGCATGCTGCCTGCTCTGCACAGGCAGGGCTTCAGCACCAGGTCAAGGGCCAACCATAGAGACATTCTGGCGGCTACCAGAGCATCTCTGTGGAGGACCTAGCCTCTGGTTGCCTCAGGGCATGGTCCAGGACCACGTCCTGCCCTGCTTTTTTCCCGCTGCAGATTTTTTCGACCCTTGGATATGGGGTCTAATTTTGCCCCCGCACCACTAATTTGCATTGCAGGGAACATTTTTTTCATTCCCACATATGCCTCTTGCAGCGTAGGTTGGGAGCAGAGTAGACTGGGCCAGGAAAAAGCAGAAACAGCATGAAAGCAACTTCCAGCTGCCTGGTGGCAACACAGCTCTCCGTCAACTAGAAGCTGCACTTACACTGCAGCCAGGGAGCAAAGGGCTGGGAGAAGCAGTGGTGGCACGGACACGGGTCCCAGCTGCATGGCTCCAACGGAGATGCAGGGAAAGAACAAACACCCTGCCCTCCCGCACAAAGTTCTCCAGCCTGCACCAGAATGGGGCATGGCTGTTCTGACATGTGGCTTGAAAAAGGTTGCCAGCTCCTGAGCTAATGAAACATCTGCAGACTTCAGGGCATGATCTTCCATTTCTGTTATTTGCATGGCACCACACACAACAGGGCTCTGGTCCATGACAGGGGCTCCTTTGCACCACAATACAAAGAGTTCAGAAAACAGCTCTAAGAGGGGACAAAAAAAAATTATGACTGGATATTTATCCACTGCACTAGATGATCTTCAGTTTTTTCCCCTTTTTCATGCCATTGTGTAACCCTTATGAAAGAACAGGTCCATTATGACCGAAGTGCTTGGCCCCATTTAATGGACCACTCAGGTGGAAAATTAAAGAGCATCCAAATATTTGCTGCTCAGACTGGCAGGTCTAATGGCAGGCCTCCCAGTCGCATCTTCCTACTTGGGACACGCCAAGATCAATACCTTGCCAGCTTGTAGCAGGACTGCTTTCAAAGCATTCATCCATTTTCAGCCCTCCTCTGTGAACAGAATCAGGCACTTTGGTGCCCACCGCATTTACTCAATTGCGCAAACAAGCACCCAACACTCCAGTTGGATTGTGAACAAATCATTCAAAAGTGTCAGATTTTAATGAGCCAGAGAAAAAAAAAGTGTAAAAGGTGGAGCCCCAACACAAAAACCAAAAAAAAAAATGCAAAACTGCTATTTGGATATTGTTGATTTAAGATAAAGTCCTTCAACACCCTTGGAGTTACCGTGTGAATTTACCCTGAGGTAACATCAAAAACTCATTTGATACAGTGCTGGCAGAATTTGTTGCATGCCTAGTAAATCCCCTCTGTGCACATCACCTGCTAGACAAAGATTTCTTTCACATACACTGTCAATAAAGGAAAGAAGCCAACTACCTACAGGGAGTGACACACCCAAGAAGGTTTCCTTACCTGCATTTTCCCCATGGCAGCACTAAACTGCTCTTCAGCAGTGGCCTGAAACGTCCTTGCAATTGCAGCTGCATCACCACCAAGGAAAACTTGCCGAAGCTGTCCTGCTTGGGTTTCTACGACTGCCTTGCTCAGCTTAGCCAGGCCTCTCATCAGCATGAAGATGTCGCCTGCCATGACTAACCCCTGTACGTGCTGAAAGACAGAATCAGAGTCATGAAATACAGCAGCTAGGGA